TAATCGTAAGCTACGACAAGAGAAAAGCTAGCGTAGAGAGATAGAAAAGCGAGGTTTATTTATGAGTCTGTCTTCTGAGGAATAAGCAGACTGAATGAAGCGCTTTAATGTTTTGCGTAGCCTGGTGGTGAGGCATATCGAACAAGTGCAAAAAAATTAGAAGTGCCATTATGATTAGGGTCACCGGTTTATCCATTTCTATGAGAGGGATTTGATATAACGACGCATATATACCCTCTCTAAAACAACACAGAGCAGAAACGCGAAAATATATAGCCGTACATACATCTAGCCGTACAAGGTACTGAAGGTGTTGTCTCCGCAATTGTAAATCTGTCAGCGAAAGGCAAGAAGCAGGTTGACCACCTGCACGTTAAAATGTTAAAGCGGTATTTTTCATGACGTGCAAAGCACATGAAATAATAACGAAAATGCACTACCGATAATTTTAGGAGACCATAGGTAAAGGGCCTTCTGGGATTACAGGAAGTGTCTCACTGTGTGGTCTCTGTGTTATTCTTTGTGGTATATTGCCAAGGGAGTCACTACGTGGTCCGAATTAATACCTAGTGATGGAAATAGACCTCTAACTGAGGGCGCTAATGTATCTGGTCCAGCAGAAGAACAGCGATCTAGTAATCTGATACCTTTTCCTAAGTAATCTCTTTTCTTTAATTTTGTGTGCTATTATGGTGGAATAGATCTGTTGAGATTTTCTATACATTATAGTAGTAGAAGATTGGTTAAAGGCTTCAGTCAGGAATGAGTTGAATGATTGAATACTGCTTTCCATATTAATAGATTAAGGGTTACATTAAGGGGTACATTGATCTAATACGTTCCTCTATGAAGCGTGTATATTTTTTCCAATCGCTTATTGTGAAGTTGTTTGGCGGTTGCAATCACGACGCTCTCAGGAAGCTCGATTATGGTCCGCTTAGCAAAAACATAGATGATGAGCGAGGCTTGCCAGGTCACTTTGTGCAAAAATCTTTTGTCAAAGCGGCGGACAGTAATTGTCTTCCTTAACAGAGAACGGAGACTTCTCAAACAAACAATTCGTTGTTTTGGGAGAGGACGTCGTAAACTTCTCTTTCCTGTACGGGTATATGAAAATGCAAATACTGAAGTACAAAATGCATCACCGATTGCCCTCGACAAGCAACTAATGCTAGTCGACCCGAAGTGAATGCAATGTGTATTTGAACGAAGACTTGCAATCACAAGTGCGGATGTGTGTACCTTCACGTGGTGGAGCTGAAAACGCTGTCTCTGTAAAGAAACAGTAGGCAAAATACACAACGCTTGTCCCTATTTGAGCATCGAACTTCGGAATTAAACTCCGAAGTTCGATGTTTTGAACGCGAATTAGAATACCCGATTTAGCCTAATGTCGCAAATTGATTCGAATGAGTGGAATGACTAACACGAATATGGAAAACTGCCTGGGGAGTCGCCTTGTCGGCTAGGTGAGACCCCGCCCCTGACCCAAGTCAGAAAATATTAATCGAAAGAGTAGAGATCAATATCAGCGAGTCATAAAAGCCTTCCATAGAAAGCGAAATCCAAGACTCAGGCGAAAATCAGAATACAACTTTCCTTTCGAATAACGGATACCTACCAACGTGAGCGCGGATGACCGAAACGCAATGGGGAGACGCGCCATGGCATGTCGAAATGATGGACCTGTGAGTCGTGGGAGCATTCTCTTAATACAGGTACGCAGGGTGGGATGTTTTGAACGAGAGCCCAGGAGGAGAGGCTTAGCTGGTTGATCGTCTTAGGAATTTCCTCTGGCTGTCCTAGCTAAGTCTCTCTTCTGACATCCTAATTTGGGTTGGCCTTTGCGGGATAGTGGTACCAGGTCAAGCAAATCTCGTAAGATTTGTATGCCGCGTGCTTCCGACGCGGTAGACGTTGGGGCAACTAGAGTCCCGTCGCGCCCAAACCGAGGGTCAAGCCTTTAGTTCCGCTCTCCTTGAGCGTCGAACCGTGAAAAGATCGGTACTCCTTTCGAGGAGGTCGCCGCCTTAGATCAAAAAGGTTCCGACTCACTGAGTGCGCCAGGGATGTCGTAGCAAACTTGACTTCCGGATCCCCAATGTATTTGAAAGCGAAGGGGTGAAAGACAGTGGGCTGTGCCAACTTATTGGCGCCCATAGAGAGGGGTGGCAATGTCTTGAATACGCTATACCACCCTCAAATCGGAAAAGTATGCAACAACACACATACACTAACTGTGAAATTGTTTATAGCTTTGTGTACTTTTCAGTGAAAATCGATTAATATCGTGGAATGATCAGATGTCAGGTCTAAGCATGAAGATGCTTCGAGTACGTTTATCTTTCTTTTTTTACTATTGCAAATTCAATCAAATCCGGCTTCTTGTTTGTATCTGTTGGCTAGTATGTTGGTTCGCCAGTAGATATTGATATGTAATTATTTTTAAGGAGAGTTTCATAAAGAACTTTGCCTGTGTATTTTGGCGTGAATAATCGTGAACCCTACCATGAATGCTTCGCATTGAAGTCTCGTCTTATTAGAAAATGACATCCCACTGTTTAGAAAAATCCAGTCTAGTTTTCTTTTGTTACTGTTTTGTTTGAGAAACAATAAACAGCGGGTACTACTTTTGGACCGTCATTGTCGCATATGATGACACTAGTCCCTTGCAGGTAAATTTCACTTGTGTGTTAGTTAATGTAATGATTGATTTTAGTTTTAATCATAATCGCCATGCTTCCGTGTACTTTGTTGAACGGGTGATTTTTTAACGATTCTTTATGACGGTTTTAAGTTTATGAGTGAAACCGGTAGAGCTGGTAATGCTGCGGAGCCTTTGGCTTAACGAAATGGTGTCCGAATATGCGCGGACGTTGACGAGAGCTCAAGGGAGAACATCGGCCAAGCCGTGATTCCCCGTTATAATATAGCAGATATGGTATGTAGGTATATGGTATATACGGTATATATACCATACCTAAATAGAAATTTTTACAAAATTGTATGTATACATAATTTTATACAAAATATAGTACGTTATCTCCACTATGGAGTCGAGACCTGATACTAGAATGATATTAGTTGAATGAAACAATAAACCTAGAATTATATTATTAGACATAGCCAAAATGATTGCAATTCTAGTAAAGAGAATGATATTAAAATTTAGAAGAAAGGCAACAAGATAGATGGTAGGCTGTATGTAGTCAGGGCTTGTGTATTCCCAAATATACTCACAAATAAATAGGTAACAAGGGCTTTATATACACTGGAATAGATAGCAATTTTTGATGCCATGGATGTTGCTCTGAACAGTAAAAATTACAGTATAATTTTACAGATTCTTGGAGTGTTACCTTTGTTCTTAATAAATCTGACATCAACCTTTATTTTAGTCACTATATTCTTAAAATCAAGAAGAAAAATGCAGAATTCATAAAGGTAAACAATTTCATAGTTTAAAAAGTCATATGAACATGAGCACCAAAAGGTATCATCAGTAATAAATTTGCAGGAAAATTAAACAAAAATGCAAAAGAACAATATCGATCCATATTAAACCAATATTACCCAAGCAAAATTCAAACCAGATAATAACAAACTAACCATTAGATCACTGTCAAAACAAAAAAATATATATACCTACAGCGATTTAAATTTAAAAAAACGGCGATTTAAAAAAACTCATCGTGCCAATAACTAAAAAATACGTGGAAACCTCTATACCATTTTCTGTCAAATGCTATTTTGTTGGTGTATTATTATTATAAACAATGATATTCTGACGGGAGATACTATGATTTGGTTTATCCCAAGCCGAATCTACGCTACATAGCACCAAACTAACTACTAAATCACTCTCAACACGAAAAAAAATAACCCGTATTTTTCATTTTTCGATTCCAATTGTTTGTGCGAAATTATTTAAATAAATTATGAAAAACTTCGCATTTTCAAATAACTGGTCATATCGACTAATCCTACACGGAAAAAAAAGTATCAAATTTTTTTAGAACTCCTTGTACACGTGTTATCTGTTATTTAATCCCAACTTTAAACGATCGATTAGAAAAAAATCATGCTTAAATGTCTCGTGCAATTGGTTAGAATAGAATCTTGATTTCCGAAGAAAGTTTAATATATTTTATATTTATTATTTATTTTATATGCTAACGATAATACACTAACAAAATAAAATTTGAGAGAAAAATAATGTAAACATTTCCGATATATTTTTTCTTGTAGAATCAATTGGCATGATAAGTTTTATGAATTTTGAATTTTGAAACAGGTAATTTTTTCCATTTCGACAGTGATCCAATGGTTAAATAGTGATATCTAACCTAGATTTTACTGGGGTAATAATGAGTTAATAATCTTAAGCTCATATTTTGAGCTGTACCTTAAAAAATTGCAGGAAACTGAATTAATAAATTAATAAAAAATCAAGGTGTCATAACAATCATATTAGCCTTAATATATTACTTCATAAAATCAAAGTACTTCATAACGCGAAATGTGAATGTGGATATAAGACACAATTTCACATTGTATGGCATTGTTCCAGATTTGATACTTAAAGACAGTCGTTCATACATTCGCTTATAAAAATGAAATACATTGAAAGCTACATGTATACACTTAATGTATCATTATACATTTTATATTAAATTATTTCAAGAAGTGCGATATTACACCATAGTACAATTTATCTCTCCAAAGAATCGTTTATAGTGCAACTCCGTACAACCAAAATTTCTAAAATTGAATCTGTAAATTAATGTACCTTTGGTATGGCTGGATAATCTGTATATGAGTTAATACAACTTAATTAAGAAAAAGTACTTTCCAGAAAATTATTTAACTGTTATAATTTGAGAGATTCAATTGAATTTTGTGTATTTTTTTCCATTTAAGTAATTAAATACATATATTCCATATTAATTTTAAAATATTAACAAAAGAAATATTGGATTATAAATAGGAAAATTACTTACCTAAGAAAACCAAATCACCCTCAACAATTATTTCATTCAATCTACTATCATCGTGAGTAACTCCATATTCCAATATTTTACAAAGTGCTACAGTTGCCACTTTACGATCATAACTCCCATAAAAAAACTGTTGCTTGCTTACCCATTCAACTAATACAAAGGCCAAAGCACTCTCTCCAGTTGGGCCAGGTATAGTTGAAAGGAAATTCAAAACTGCATCAAATTCAGAATTTACTAGATGAGCATAGATCATCAACAGGCTTTGCATAACTGTTGGAGTTTCAGTACGTTGCATTTTACTTAAAACAGCCCTTAAAAGCAAGTCAAGATTTTCTCCTAATGAGTTTCCAGCTTTTCGTATTAAAGTTGTCACTAGTTTTCCAACAAATGTGGCAGTAAATTCACTAGACTACATAAATTTATAAAATCAGTTATAAATATAAACATATTAATACAGTCCACTCTACAAATGAAAATGGGATAAAATATAATATAATATAATATATTATAATATAATATAATATAATGTAATATCATATAATATCATATAATATCATATAATATAATATCATACAATATTATATAATATATTATAATGAGTTTGACATGAACTCGGTATCTCTCTCTCTCTCTCTCACTCTCTCTCTCTCTCTATGACCATAATATTAAGAATATCATATATATAAATGTTATATTATTTGAACTATATCTCTCCTTAGCAGCAGCAGGCGACCATTGTGGAGAAGGTAAGAGAGAGCGCCGGCAGAGAGAGACCGCGTGCGCCTGTAGACTTAGCGACATGTACGACGAACCGCGCGCCGCGCGCCGCGTGACGACGGGCCAGCAATTAGCCGATAGCTTGCGAGTCGTGCAGAGGTATTCGATCGTGCGTGCGTTTATATTAGCTTTTCTTTGTGAATCGCCTCGTGGCAAGAGAGTGACTTTGGACTGTGACAAGTGAGAAAGGTACAACTGTGCGTGCAATACCTCCTTCTCCTTCGCGATTAGCGACTGTACTGTTAGGCGAATTCCGCAACTGTGCCAAGGTGTAATTGAAGGGCTTCGATTAATGTAAGTACCGACCGTTCCTTAGATTTCTCTCTCTCGCTTTGACTATCTCGCCGCTCACTCCGAACCACCCTGTACACTGACACGTACATAAACTTTATATATTCGTACACTATTAAAATTGAATGGCTTTTCTTTCGTACTAACTTTCTTTCCTATCGTTTCCCTTAACTTTCGCGGTTTAAGCTGAGTGACCCACGACGCTCTCCGCGGGCTAGTTGGCGATCTGACCTACCGGGCCGGTCTTGCGTAGCAGAAAACGCAGTGCCGTAAAAAGCTGTATTTGTGCCAGCCACTACTCAATCTCGGTTAATTAATATATTGTAGCGGTCTAAATCACCGTAACAATATTTAATTAAATTTGGTCATATATATTCTGTATTACCATGGCTTGTAATGCTTAATAATTTATAACACGGTATTTCCGACTAATATTCCCGTGTTGCTTCGATTTTCGCTATTTGACTAATTTTAATAATTTTAAGAAGAAGGGCGCCAAGCACTACTAAATTTTGACGGTAGTATAAAAATGAATCGTCAGATCTCCAGAGGGGTGTCACTTTGGATACTTATTCAGTGCACATTTAATTTGAATTAACCTTTGTAAAGTTTAAGAATAGTACGAGGTCTGTTTAAAAAGTATCGCGAATTTTGTATGTTTTCAAAAATTATTTATTTATTCATGATTATCTATTTTATTTCCTTCAAAGTAATCCTCCTTGGATATAATGCACTTGTGCCAACATTTTTTCCAATCTTCCAAGCACTTAAAAAAATCATTTTTTGTGATCTTGTTCAGCTCCTCCTTCGATGCCATCTTTATCTCCTCAATCGTGGAATAGCGTCGTCCTTTCATGGGTCTCTTCAGTTTTGGGAATAGGAAAAAGTCACAGGGAGCCAGATCTGGGGAATACGGTGCCTGTGGCATCGTTACGGTTTTAGCCAAAAATTCGCGCACAAGCAACGATGTGTGAGCAGGGGTGTTAGGATGGTGCAAAAGCCAATTTTTATTTTTCCACAAATTCGGACGTTTCTGGCGGATTGCTTCGCGCAAATTGCGCATAACTTGCAGGTAATATTCCTTATTGACCTTATTACCCTCATGAGAACTCATGATACACCTCGCCCCTGTAATCGAAGAAAACTACCAGCAAAACCTTCACGTTCGACCGAACTTGGCACGCTTTTTTCGGTCTTGGTTCATGCGGTAGTTTCCATTAGGACGATTAAGCTTTGGTTTCCACATCATAACCATAAACTCATAATTCATCACCAGTTATGATCCTCTGGAGCACATTTTGGTCGTCACGGACCGAGTTCAACATCTCCTGAGCAATGTTAACGCGATGCTGTTTTTGGTCATGAAGCCAAAATTTGGTCTTGAATGGCATGAGCCAATCGATATGTCTAGATCCTCAGAAACTTCTCTAACGGTGATTCGACGATTGACCAAGTCTATTTTTCACTTTATCAATGTTTTCGTCCGTTGTTGACGTGCTCGTGCGTCCGGCACGTTGTTCGTCGATCACATCTTCTCGGCCCTCTGAGAACATTTTTTACCACCGATAAACGTTGCTTTGGTCCAAGGTAGCTTCATCATATGCCACAGTCAACAACTTTTCACACAAAATTTGATACAGATTCTTTGATCCATTTTTTAGAATAGACAAAAATCGAAGACGAGCCAAAACACATCCAAGCAAAACAGCTGTCAAAAATTAATTAAACATTCAAAATGGCCGATCTTGTCAGCATAAGTAAGGGACATGAGTGACAACATAACGCTACCAAAAAATCAAATTTACGTAGGCCGCAGAAATTCAAAATTCGCTATACTTTTTGAACAGACCTCGTATATTTTAACAGTAGAATAATATGTATGCATTTGGCTGTAGTAAATCGCGAAGGCCAAATCCAGCTTAGTTTGGAGACTTTATTGTAATTAAGTCGTGTTTTTAGCCTATAGCAAATACTCGGATTTATCTTGTTTGGTCCGATTTCTCTTATTTTTCCTGTCCTTCGCGAGGATTATAAATTGTATGATGAAATAACTACAGGTTAGGAAGGTGAAAAGAACAAGTATTATGCGTATTAAAAGACAATAAAATTTTAAATGAAATGTTGAGCCTTTTATTAATCAAAATCAAAATGTGTAAATGTAAGTGTGTGAAGTTACAAATAATAACATGTAAAGTGTATATGTTGTCTGAGTATATCGGCTCTCTTAAACTTAGTTACAGGAAACGATTTAATTTACGCTACAAATTAGATTAAGGATAGGTGCAGCGCAGTTGGCTTACACATAATTTGATAATTACTAGAATCGCGGTATTGCTATCTAGTACTGCGTATTGCTTTTATTACTCATAAATCAATTTACAATAGGCACGCCGTACATTCACGTACTATGGCGAAATGAACAACTTAATAAATAATGCTGACTGACTTACGAATCTTAGCGAATATAGATAGGTGTGGCTTGCGTAGCATACGATTACATATATGCGATCTTATCCTAGATCTATTCGGCTTGCAATTTTATGCTCGAAAATAATTTTAGTTTGCACTTACTCTTAATAACAATAATTTTCATTTCTTCGAATTTTCGGTATTACTTCTGGAAATCGACTATAACGTGTGATAAATTACTCGTTATGTCTCTCTTTCTCAGACGACCATATTTACTTATGTACATATATAGGGGGTGTCCGATAAGTACTTAACATCACCGCCCGATGGCGCCACTCTCGCAAAAGAAATATTCTATCACGTAGTACAACCTTCTCGATGGTTACTGTCAAGATTTCAGCCGGATCGAAGTTGTAGTTTATTTTTGAGAGCGTGTGAAAGCAAGTGTGTCCGTTAATTATTGAAAAATGGAAAAAGAGCAGTATCGCACGGTGATTCGATTCTTGTTTTTGGAAGGGAAATCGCGCAGCAAAATCAAAAAGCGCTTGGATGCTGTGTACGGTGACTCTTCTCCTTCGATGGCAACCGTCAAAAATTGGTTTAACGAGTTTCAACGTGGTCGCACGTCGATTTTTGAAGAGCCACGTCCAGGTGCTCCGAAAACGGCTACCACGGAGGATCACGTGACAAAAATTCACGATCTTGTATTGGCAGATCGACGATTGAAGGTGCGCGAAATAGCTAAGATCGTAGGCATCTCAAAAGACCGCGTGGGTCATGTCCTATATGAAATTTTAGGCATGAGAAAGCTGTCGGTGCGATGGGTGCCGCGTTTGCTCACTCCGGATAACAAGCGCAACCGTGAGACAACTTCAGAGCAATGTCTGACGTTGTTTAAGCACAATCCAAAGGAGTTTCTGCGTCGTTTCGTGACAGTCGACGAAACATGGATCCACTGGTATACACCAGAGACCAAGGAACAGTCGAAACAGTGGACTTTACCGGGCGAATGTGCTCCGAAGAAGGCAAAGACTGCCCCATCCACCGGAAAGGTGATGGCCGTCGTTTTCTGGGATTCACAAGGTGTGATCGATATCGACTACCTGGAGAGAGGCAAAACGGTCATAGGGCTGTACTATGCCGAATTATTGGGCCGTTTCGACGTCGAATTGCAGAAAAAACGGCCCCATTTGGCGAAGAAAAAAGTGCTCTTCAACCATGACAACGCACCGGCTCACACCTTCGCCGTCACCATGACCGAATTGGTCGAATGAGGCTACGAACTGCTGCCCCATCCACCGTATTCTCCAGAGTTAGCTTCGTGCGACTTCTTTTTGTTTCCAAACTTGAAACAGTCACTCGCCGGGCAGAAATTTGAGTCGAATGAGGAGGTAATCGCTGCCACGGAAGCCTACTTTTCAGACCTCGAGGAAACGTATTTTTCAGACGGGTTAAAGAAGTTCGAGCATCACTGGGCCAAGTGTATCGAACTAAAAGGAGACTATGTTGAAAAATAAAACGACACTTTTTCAAAATTTTGGTTTTAGTTTTGTAGGCTAAGTACTTATCGGACCACCCTCGTACATATATATCTATATTCATTATTTGGTATAATACTGACTTATGTATAATGCTTAGCAGTAGCAGCGGGTAATAGAATACAAGGTAAGAAAGAGAGAGAATATAAACAATACAACGCGAAGCAGCAAGAGAGAGAATAGACTCGCGTAGGCTTAAACTGAGTATATGCTCATGTGCGAGAGAAGGAATGAGGAGAGACTGTCGCGCTATACGAACTGATATATGTTCGGCAGAGAAGGAGAGAGAGTGGGGAGCTCTTCCGCGAGATTGTTGATCGTGTCCGAACGCGCATGTTTTCTCGCCGGCCGGCTTTCATATTGTAATTCAACAACTCTTTTCCAATCTCAACTT